CTGTGGCTGCCGGAGGAGCCGCGGTGCCCGGCCCTGGCCCTCGCCCAGCTGCCCGCCGCCGAGGCGCGCAGCCAGTTGCAGGCGCTGATCTTCGGCATGGCCGGCTGCATCGAGAGCCTGGAGAGGCGCCTGAAAGGTCCGTGGTGAGTTTAGAAGAAGGGAGAGCTGGCAGCTCCTGCCACCTTCATGGGATCACCCCCACCTAAAGTGCCCTAGGCGCCCCAGTTCAGCTGCAGCAGGAGAGGGCTTCACCCCAGGTGGTTTATTCTCACCAGTCCCAGTGGGCCAGCAGAAGAGCTGCTGCCCATCACTTCCCTGTTCGGGCTGGCCCGTTCTCAGAGCTGGCCAGGGTCTGCACCAGACCCTCGCAGGCAGAAGAGACCCTGCCTGGGCCCAGAGGGCACAGTGGTATGACTCTGTGTGGAAACACAGCCCTGTCCTCGTGGTCACCATCCATCCAGCACCACACCAGCATCCCGAATGTGGGAGTCAACTTACAGACATCTTTGTTTGAGGGGTCTGGGAAGATTTTGGAGCAGCAGTATGGATGGAAGTGCTGAGAGGAGAATGGGGCTCAGGTTGACTGTGGAGGGAGCTTGCTGTGGAGGCTTGAAGTGCTGCATGCAGAATTGGGGAGTGTTGTCACAAGCTTTGGCTCTGGCTCCTGTCTCAGTAGCAGTGGAGACGTTATCATCTTCCTGCAGCCCTGAGAAGAACACTGCCCAGAGCCAGCAGCTCTTCCTGCCAGGTAGGCACTGCCAGGGACACCTGCCCTGGTCCCACAATCTTTTGTCTTCTTCTTCCTGGAGGCTGCTGGTCCCTGTATCCATGTGCTCTTCAGGACACTCTGAATGCCCTTGACTGTGGCTGCTGGCAGCCACCTGTTGTCCTGGTGTCTGGGATGCTCAGGTCAAAGGTTGGGCATTGCCAGCCTCAGAAGGAGGGCAGACTTTGCTGTGCTTCCAGACTGGATGCTGTGGCGGATCCATGGCTCCTTTTGGGAGGAGGCCAAGTTTGGTCCTTTCTTGCCCTCTGTGGCTGCTGGTCCTGCCAGGCTGGGCTCCCAGAGGCTCCCCCTGGCCCTGGAGGGACTGGGAGGGCTGCCAGAGCTCCTTGGTAACTTGTAATCTGTGTACTGCCTGTTCATGACTGAGGTAGACCCCAGCCCCAGGAAGAGTAGTGCTTCTGGCTCAGCTTTGCCAGCCAAAAGGAAGGTCCATGGGGAGTCTCTCATTAACCCTGGTTTCAAAAGGTCAGTGCTGGGGCTGGGTACTGCTGGAGTACCCTGTGGGCTCTGCTCCATAACTATGGTGGCAGCGGGGCTCGGGGCTCTGATCTCCTTTCAGCAAGAAGGCGCCATCTGGAGTGAATTTTGAGGACTTGTGATGTCCTGTACCCCGATGACAGCCCTATGGACCCTATGTCTGAACAAGGAGGTGTCCCTGTCGTTCCAGACCTACTGGGCTCTTCGACCCAGGGAGACAACAGAGCCAGCAGCCACCTCTCAGCTGGGGTGGTGGCAGGACCTTTGGGCAGGACAAATGGAACAGAGGGGACACCAGCATGGTGGGGTTTTCCCCTGCAGCTCTTCCCTGCTGGCAGGGAAGGTGCTGACCTCACTTACCATGAACTGGTGGAGTTTGGATGGAGCCTTGATACCATGGAATGGAAAAATTACCTGTGCTTTGCTTCTTGCCAGTAAAGGTGTTTTTAGCCAGCTGGTCTCTCTGGGTGTGTCTCCCCATTCTGCCTCTCCCTTTCTCGGGAAGCCTTGAGCCTGTTTCAGCTGAACCTGGGCGTCCGGGCCTCAGAGAAGTTCCCTTCTCTGCCAGCTTTTTGCAAATGGGCTGATGGGTGTGTGGTTAGAACCTGGCCAACCCCTCTGGAGAGCTGTGAGGGTGGGCTCTGCCTTGCTGCACGCTGGGAGAGGATGAGGATGTCAGTACAAAGCCTTGTAAGGGAGGAGCTGCTGGAGTGTTCACTCCAGACTCACACTGGTCTTGCTTGCAAAGCTTTTATTGATTTCCAGGAGCTCTGAAGCTTAGCTTGGGCTTTCCTTGCTTCACAACACCCAAGTCTGTTGAGAGCTTCCTAACTGAGATTTCTGGGGGGAACTGACCTCTGCCCATTGCCTGTGCCATCCCTCTCCAGCTCCATTCCTAGGTCTCTATGGGTGTGCCACCTCACCTGGTGCAGGTGTGAGGGCACCCTGTGGTGCCTGCAGCCCAGGTGGGTGGCATAGCGTGCCTATGCAAGTGGCTGCAGGGCAGCTTGTTGTGCCCAGCTCTGCCCCTGCCCTCAGGTGGGCACAGCTTTGGCACCGATGGTGCCCCTGGCTGTGTCCCCTTGTCCTCATCCTGATGCTCGAGGGGCCACAGAGCTTGTCCTGGTTGTGAGGAAGGGTGGGTGGCACAAGAAGGGCTCGGTGCACTGCAGATTGCTGCCAGCACCTGGGTGCCAGTGGAGGGAATTTGGGTGCGAGTGGCACAGCTCTCCTGAGCCCCTGCAGGCAGGCAGGGGCAGGGTGGGCGCTGACCTCCTGCCTGACCACAGTCTTGGCCCTGCACCCACTAGGGCACGTGCCCGGCTCACTGCAGTGCCCGGACAACGGAACGATAAGCTTGTATAATCTCCTGGCTATTGGGGCAGGTGTATTTGAACTCCTTAGTTTCACTGGCACTGTTGAGGTACCGCCACACACCCTGCAGGTCCTTGGGGATCCCAAAGCGGCGGTAGTGCTGGCACACGACCTGCAGGCACAAATGGGGGAGACTTGCCTGACACTGTGCCAAGGTCTCTACCACCAGGGCAGGCACCAGTTGGGAAGGGTGGCAGGGAGCCAGGAACATCCCTGGCACTGTGAATTTGAGGGCTGGCACTTAGGAGGGGATGCAGAGAGGAGTGGGATCTGTCGGAGGGCCTTGTGCTGGGCAGGCTCCTTGGGAGAGGGATGCTGGGGGACACAGAACTGAGAGAACAACTGGGAAAGGAGCAGGGTCTTGCTGTAAGCACCAAGAGGAAAGTGAGGGCATGGGGATGCCAGGGAAAGGAGAAAGGCATGGTACTGGGATGCCAGTGGCTTACCTGAACGATGTTGAGCTTGGGCAGCAGGTTGCAGTCAGCAAGTGTGAGGTGGTCTCCGTCAAGGAAATGGCGCTGGGAGGCCCGGAGGTGAGGGTCCTGGGCCAGCTCGTGCTCCAGAGGGGCGCTCAGGTACTCATCCAGCTTCAGCAAGGCGCGCAGCAGGCTGCGCTGCAATGCTGCAAGGAGGGCGGTAAGGTCACAGTACAGCCGTGATCCGGGCATGGGGCCCCTGCTCTGCTGCGGCCTCCTGCCAGCCCCTCCCTGTGTCCAGGCAGCACCTGTCAGCCTCTTCCCACCTGGCTCAGGCTAGCACCTGCCTCTGCCCTCCCACAGAGAGCTGACTCAGCCATGCTGGCCTGTGTAGAAGGGCGGTGCCTGGACAGACCTGACTGTGGACTGGGTGGGGGGGACTGGGAAAGCTCAGTGTGACTAGGCTAGGCTTTGCAGTGTGGCACCCAAGAGGTTGCATGGGGCACTCCCCCAGCCGCTCCTCACCCTCATCCTGTGCAGGTACCGGGTTCTTGATGAAGACAGAAAACTTATGGAAAATGTCATTCCCAGCCAGGCTTGACTCCGGGTAATGCGGGACCAGACTGGGGCACCTGTGGGGACATGGGCACAGCTGAGGCAGGTAGCAGAGGCTGACAGGCTCATCTGCATCCCTCAGCTTGTCCTGCCCTTCTCTGGGGGGCCACTTCCTCCTCTCAAGGCAGCACCAGCCACTGACATGGGGGGGCCCAGCTGGTCCTCCAGAAACTCCTCAATGGTGATGGTGTCAGTCTTGGGCTCGCCATTGTAGAGAAGGACGGGCAGCTGGGCACCTGGTGCAAAGTCCTTCAGCACATCCAGCGCCCTGTGGAAGATGGGTACACCACTGATGCCTGGCATGTCCAGGGTTCCGCAGGGCACTCTGTGTGCGTGTGTGTGTTCATATTGTGCACACATGTCCCAAGCAAAGGGAGTTCTGGGGCATCACTGCAAAAGATAGTGCACTCAGGCCCCTCCTGCCTCACTGTGTGCCCAAGGAAATACCTGCCAACCTCCCCCAGCACCAATGGTCACCTGGGGAGGTAAAAAAACCTCCATGCATCCCATAGTGCCCACCCTTCACATCCCTTCCCAAAGTGTTGGGGACTTACCAACCCCCCACTCTGCACATGATCCTGGCCCCAGAGTTGGCACCCCTTGGGAGGGGATGGCCACTCACCTCTTCACATCCACAGTGGTGAGGGTGAAGGGCACCCCTTTGAGCAGCAGCACCATGAAGAGCCGCTGGCAGAAGGGGCAGTGCCCCACGCTCTCCCCATCCTCACTTGCCTGTGGGCACAGAAGGAGAGCTAAGATGTCCTTTCACCCTGGCATGGCCTGAGTGGGGGCAGCCCCAAAGGGTACAGGGTGAAAATGATAGGGCACATGCCCCAGCTCAGCCTGGCAAGCTGTCCTGCAGTCCATGGTACCTGCTATGCCAGGCAGGGCACCAGCTCCTGGCCTCTGCCAGCTCACAGAGCTTCAATGCCACAGTCCAGAGCAGCCATATGGCACAGCAGGTGCTGGCCCTAGCACCCTCTGAGGACAAGGACCTCCAGGCTGCTCCGGCCTCAGTGTCGAGGGGCAAGGGCTTGAGAGCAGTAGTGGCAGCAGGGGTGGCAGTGGCAGGGGACAGCAGCAGAGATGTGCCAGAGGAAGATGACAGCAATATTGGTGGCCCTGTCACCCCCAGCCACAATCCCAGGTGAGCCCCGTCCTGCCTGCACAGCCAGACTGCACCAGCCAGGCAGCGGCTGGGAAGGGCCTGGAAGGGGCAGAGAGATGTTGTGGTGCCCTACTGCACGGCCCTACTTTCAGGAGGGAACCTGGTCCAACCTCCCCAAGTTTAGCCTCCACAGACCCTGTGCTTGTAGGGCAGGAATCAGCAAACAGTACACCCTGAAGAGCCTGAGCTGCCTGCTGTCTGTCTCCCCACCTACCTGCTGCCCAGTGCCTGCCCCACTGCCTGTTGTCAGCCCCATTGCCTACCTGGTGCCCGACCCCCTGCCCACTATCTGCCTCCCTGCCTGCCTAATGCACCACATCTGGGCACTGCAGTGGGCAGGGGCAGCCTAGCCACACCCCCCACCCCCCACCCCCAGGGGCCCCATG